ATGCTAAGGTATGAGACATGAGCGCTGAGAACCATGAAGCGAGTGGCACCTCGTGGATTGGGCTTATTCAATCAGGTTGGGATCAAACCCGTGCCGATCACACGGTGACTGAGACAGAATTAAGTCAGGATAGGATAGTTGGAACTCCCAAAGTATAAAGTGAAGTATGTTTTTTTTAAAAGAAAGAAAAAGAAAAGAATTTCTTTTAGAATGTTCATAAACTGCTATTATGCAATTATATAGAATTATTCTTATAAGCTTTATGTTTTACATGCATTTAGAACCTTTGGTCGTAATATATGTATTATTAAAGTCTCGCCCCATATGTTAAGACTCACTGAGTACAATGGATGGTACTGACGTTCTCTTTTGGGAACCTACGTTGGTTTGCGGTACAACGTAGGAACCGGATTTGCAGGCGAGCAGGCTACGAGTTAGGACTTCCTTCTCTTCCAGTGCTATTGGTGAGCTCTGCTTTTGTTCGTGGAGTATTCTTTAGAGTCATCTTTATTTAGTTATTTCTTTATTACTTAGAGAACTGGCCAGGAAATCTCATGTCCTGAGCAGTGCGTCAGTTTATCCGTAGAGACTTCATAGACATAGTCGTTGGGTTAAGATTCAGATGTTTTTGATAATAACTTAGCAGTATTTCATTGGTTACTATGAATAAAATTTTGGAGTTAATTTATTTAAATGTTTAAATTAATCAAAAGTATTTGGTTAGAGTATTGGCTTGTTGCATATAAAGTTTGGAGTTATAATAGATTTGATAAGCAGAGATGGTTCGCTCGATCATGTTTAGTGATCGAGTGCCGGTCCCGGCTTGTTCAGAAAATGGATCGTGACAGCGGACTGGGCTGGAGATGTGAATGATAGACATTCAACTTCGGGATATTGTTTCAGCACCGAGTTAGCCATGGTATCATGGTGCAGTAAAAAGCAATCAGTGGTGGCATTATCTAGCACCGAAGCTGAGTATGTCGCAGCAACTATGGCTGCACAAGAATGTATGTGGTTGAAAAGATTAATAGGAGAGATGTTGCACAAAGTTGATTATGCTGTTCAACTTAGATGTGATAATGAAAGTGCTATCAAGCTTGCGTCGAATCCCATTTTCCATGGTCGGACGAAGCATATTGAGGTTCGTCATCACTACATTCGAGAAAAAGTGCTAGATCAAGAAGTTGTTTTGAAAGGAATTTCTACAAATGAGCAAGTCGCAGATATATTTACAAAGGCTTTGGTAAAGCCTAAGTTTGAATATTTTAGAGCTGCTCTTGGAGTTATTGATCGTAAGTTTGCACTAAGGGGGAGTGTTAAAAATTAGTGCATTCTTACATGTTTTATTTACTGTTTTACTTATGTTTACTAAGTCAAATAATTCAGTTCCTATTTTATAGGAATAGTATCAGCTTAGTTGTTAATTTGGATAGGATTCCTTGCTAGTTGCTAGAGTGAGTTGAACGTTAGTGGTTCTGTCTTATTTATATGCTTTGCATATCCTGCTGTAAACCAGAGTTCTAGTGAAAGCAATAACATTCTTCAGTGTTTTATTTCTCCTACAATTTCTTTGACTGCAATTTCTTTGACTGCAATTTCTTCTTTCCTCTGTTATTTTTTTGTTTTATTGAGAAACATCTTCATTTCTTGTACAACTTCTGGGGATTGGAGTAGAGCTAATATGCTTTTGACATTAATGTGAGTTCTATGTAACTGCAGCAAACAAGGCAGATTACTTACAAAGGAGAACCACGCATTAGTCATTGCTCAAATAACTTCAACTACCACAAATCACTCTATCTAAACACCTATCACTAACGTGAGTGAAAAGCTTAGGGATCTGAAACACCTATCACTAATGCGAGTGAAAAAGCCTGGGGAAATTGCATTAACACTGCCTTCTTCGTTTCAGACTAGTACCATTTGGAGGTCGCTGTTGAAGGTTATGTGAAGGGGAGTAACTAACGTCAGGCACAAACATTGAGCAATCAAATGGATTCTGGTAAGTTTTGGGCCAGTAAAGTCCAGAGGCCGTAGGTGGGGAAGGTACTTGTGGCACTGCCCAAGATGTGTCTGGAACCTGACCCAAGCACTCCTCACCGTCTAGTTCTTCATCTTCAAATCTCAAGATAGACGAACAGTCTGACTCTCCAAGTTTCCCATTATCCGCCTGATAGATTTCAATGCAAGAAGAACTAAATTAGGAGCCACTCTGATTATTGAACTTGATAGTCCATCAAACAGATTATCTATTGATCTAAGCATTCAACTTAAGCAAAGAGGCAAGCGATAGACTGAAAATTTCCTTTGGAAAATGAAACACAGTTGAAACAGAGCAAAAACCATGTATGAACATAGAACCCAGTCTGCTTGGGATACGCCAGTCTTGTTTGTCCAAGTCAAGTGATGGTGAAACACATGAGCCGCCATTTACAGTCAAAAACATTGTTGTCAAACTCTTCAATAGAATACTGTCACCAACATGAATCCCCACCTTTGACTACAGTCATACTTAGAAAATATATGGTCGGAAATGTTTCTGTATCAACTAAGCACCCATAGAAAAGAATAATGTGATTGACACCTAGAGGCATATTTTTTGTAGCATGAATCACATAAAACAAAATAAAATTTTAAAAAAACACGACATAATAGTTAAAGCTGCTTCTGATTATCACAACCCTAAGCAAGGTTGTTAATCTAGCCACATGCTAATATTGATGCTGCGCCTTGACTGTCTATAACTGTTTATTGAACTCTAATCAAGACTCAGAATTCTAAGCATTTGAGATCCCATGGATTAGTTGGCAAAGTGCAAGTCCACCAATATGGCAATACTTCAACGATCTGCACCCAAGTGTTTGCCATATGACAGGGGACGGGCAAGTTTGTGGCAAAATTCGTCTGTCTAATTAAAAGATTGAATTGGGGGCTAACAATGTCGTTTCCACCTGAAGTGGTCCAACCAACAGATAGTCCAATCACACAGCTCATTTTTTTCCAGTTTCATGACTTCAGATAAAAAGATGTATTTTCTAGGTTCCTTGTTGGGGGGAATACATGTACACAACTTAAACCCTGAAGTACCGAGCATGCACACCACACAACCACACAAGATCAGGGATTTCTCATGTTTAGATGATTAGTCCAGTACAACCAGGTCTAGTGAAGGATATATTAAAAATAAAGATGCTAATTACTAAAATAATAAATAATGAAATAAGATCTAAATCATACCTCAAATGATCAGTCATCCATTGTATGCATACTTCTGATTGAAATGCAGTCCAAGAAATTCATCTAATAGCCATTGTAATATACTACAAACAACAAAAGCTAAGAGTTAAAAACGTACCCTGGATGATCCATCATCCATGTATCCATAATTCTGATTGAAATCGTTCAGGCCAATATATTCATCAAACTGCCATTGCGGAATACTTCCAGCTGCAGAACCTCCAGCAAATGGAGACCTACTAGGAGCAAACTCCCCAACAGCACTTGCCTGGGGAGGTAATACTTTGTCAAATTGAGCATCCAACGATATTGGGGCATTTCGTTTAGAAAGTGAAGCAGACTCTGGCTCTGAAACCTTCTGAATGGACTGCGACGTCCCTGAGGATGATGCACCACCAGGATCAACGGGTTCAAGTCCTACTTTCACTCCAGTCAGCAAAAATCTTTGGTGAGCTGAGACATGAGGATTAGCTGTGTGAATAGCAATATCACATTTTCGGCAAAGTAAAGCCCGATCCTCGAGACAAAAGAAATAGCCAACTGATTCCTGCACAAATAGAATCCTTTTATCAATATTTAAAATAGTAAAACAGTAGTAAAACTGAAGATAAGACATCAATTTATTTTTTAAAATTTTGACAGATAGACAAACATAGGTTATGTACATCTAAAATTATACTGAAGCACAGAAGAGGAGGACTTTCATTAGAAAGTAGCAAAATCTGATAAACATGAGGAAACATTTCTGCTTTGGCTACAAACGAAGTTGCTCGGACACGGGTGCGGGGATCCGACATGGGTGCGGATCTAGAGGTCGGATCCTTCGAGATGTAAATTCTAAGATTCGGGGATACGGATCCTATTACGTATACGGGTGCGGGGATCCGACATGGGTGCGGATCTAGAGGTCGGATCCTTCGAGATGTAAATTCTAAGATTCGGGGATACGGATCCTATTACGTATACGGGTGCGGGGATCCGGCTAAAAAAAAATTCAAAAAAATAAAAATATCTCTAAATTATGAATTTTTTTGTGGAATACTTACATATAGCTTGTAAAGTGGGGATTGCTTTTTTATTCTCAAGCTGTAGATAAGTAAAGGATTGATTTCCTAGATAAGATATGGTATTTTCTTCAAATTTACCCTAGTTTTAGTTCTGATTTCGGGAATCAAATTGTATCTCGTCTCTAATTTTTCCGTTCGTCATGGTCAAAGTACCCAAAATTGTTTGACCAAATCCGGTACGGATTCCATACCCACACCCATACTAGTGTCGTGTCGACACGGGTGGCGGCACCTAAATTGCCGTGTCGGAGCAACTTAGCTCCACAAAGGGAAAGGTAAGCAGAAACCTTAGCCAGTCAAATCAACTCTAGAAAAGAAAATGAAATCACTTTTGTTCAGTCAAATGGGTAACTTCTGCTTCATGTGACTGTACAATATCCAACTACCAACCAAAAAATCCTGAAGATGATTAAACATCTGCAATTACTATAGAGTAAAAGCTCAGTAATGTTCATGATTTTATATGATGAGCACATGATCTTCTCTCAAAGAGAAGTTACAGGAGCAAATGTTTGCATGAGCATTACATATCCCAACAGGCTCATCTAATCGTATGCGATCCTAAACTTTCAACCATCAATTGAGCTTCTGTATGTTTTTCTTAACATGGAGTTATATCCCCTTTAGAGAAGAGTTTTTTTTCTCTTTTCCTTTTATTTAGATATTTTGAGAAGTGCATTCCCCAAGAGCTCTTGGTTGCAAAAGCTAACCATAGTTTTCCATCTATAAATATTCATATTTATGAACCGGAAAACAGGTTATGCCCAGACTCCAGATTAATGTTTCTGTTTCTTACTTTCTTAATATCTCGCCAAAGGGACTGCCAAATAAACAAAACAGATACGCCATAGTTCAACACTAAGAAGCTCTAGACAAGCTCTCCAAATGCCATATGCAAACCGTATCCTACATTAAATTCCACAATCAGCATTAGGTGGAACCATAACTAATCAAGATGGCAGAAAATTGTAACTTAGACCTACATATGCCTATTAGTGCACAACATCTGGAGGATCGCCCTAACCACTCCCTGGCAGGTCGCGGGAAAGAATACCCCGGATCTCCTTTCTTTATTTTGTTCTTTCTCTTACTTTTTTTCTTTTCTATTTTATGACAATGTTGTCGGAGCCAGCTTGTGCGCACCCAGTGGCGGAGCCACATTCAACTAAGGGGTGTCAATCGACACCCATTCGCCGGAAAATTTACATTATAATGCTATATAATTTTTTTTATTTCATGTATATTTATTATACGTCGACTCCCCTTGACTTTTTGATGTATCAAATTTTTTATATTATGACACTCCTTGATGAAAACCGTGGCTCCGCCACTGTGCGCACCTCGACTATTCCACCGGATACCGACTACCTTCCACCGGTAGAGGTACCGGGTAACTATGCTAACCTTACAGTTTTCAACTACAACTATATGAACGAACAAAATTAGATTGGTACCTAGATATTAACTTTACTAATATGTTTCCAGAAAACAAAAAATTCGAAGATAGTGCAGCAGCAATCACAATTTAAGACTTATATAATTAATAGTAGTATCAATCAATCCAAACATCACTGTCCCCTGCGTCATAAAAGCTACTAATAAACAAATATCCGTATTTCCATTAAACTACTCTATTTTAAACGGAATATATTTGTAAAAATAAGTCAAAATCAGGGAAGTATCTATGATTAATTGATGCTACAAAACGAATACAAATCAAAATAACAGATGTTGAATCCTGTAGAGCCGCCGAATTACAATATCCACAGAATCCGTTTAATCCACAATACCAAACTGTGAAAAGTGGATATAAAACAAAATTAAAATCACAAGATTGAGTAAATACATGATGAAAACGGACAGGTGAATATTACCTGGCAGATGTCACATTTAGGCATGGAAGAAGAAGAGCCAGAGAGAGGAACTCTCTGGTGCTTACTAGCCAGCTTATTAGCAGCGTGAACCTTCTCATCACAGGACCAGCAGAGCGCCGCCTCGTCGGCGCAGCACAAGACGTTCGCCTCCGCAACCTCACAAACGTTACACTGAATCTTCATTACCTCTTTCTGTTCAGAAAACTAGAAAGATCTATGCTAAGTAGTGACAAAAAATGAAAAGATCTGCAGCTGCAGCTGCAGCAGCAGCAGCAAGTGGGTTTTACAAGGGGGGCCTAGGTGGTGGGTTTAGGCAGTAAATGAAAACCGAATAACGGTGAGAATACCTCTACAGAAGTAGGCAACTGGAATTTTGGATTTCTTAGTATTTGTATGGTTGCTTTGGGAAAAAAGAAATGGCTGTTTTTGAGAGAACGTGTCGGGTTTAGGCTGGTGACCCGCTGAGCTGGAGTTGTAAGGAGATTTTATAGTGTCACATGATTTTTGTAACCCAAGTGTTTGGTTTTAATTTGGGGTTTTGATATAAATATCATCCTCTAGCAACAATAATGTCCATTAAAGTATTTTTATCTCTGACATCTTTATATAAAATCCAAACAATTTGAAAGTTTTGTTCTTTTTCGGAACTTAAAACAAAAATTGCAAGTTTATAATGTCTGACTTAATAGTCAATCATTGCAATAACAGGGTTGTGCGTGTTTGACATAAGAAGTTGTGGACTTGGGTTTGACAGGTCGAGGTTTTGGTTTCCTTTAATTTTAAAAGTTAAATTTAATTTTGAAATATATGTTCCTGATGAAATTGACGATGAGTCTTCTTCTTTCTATATATTCGTCATAATCACCATTTTCCTATTAAACATAATCCAAAAAACTTTGAAACAGTTTATAAGGAGATATTATTAACTTAAAATCTCTCGACTCAAACATAGTATAGAAGTCTCATTTGTTTGTCACTCTCTACATCCTAACAAATTGTGCTAATGGTATCAACTTGCTCATATAATATCTGCAATTCTCCTTTCTAAAGGGACTCGATTCTTTGCGTGTGGAGGGCGATAGCTTTGATGAGACCGACACGCAATTTAGTGCGCCAACCTGAATACCTAGTTGCTTTTTACTGATACTATTCAATAGCATCCTACTTTAAATTAATGACCCTTCACTCGCTTGCGTGTGATTGTCAGAAGCAATGAATTCATTTTTTCCTTACCAAGAGTTAGTAGCATGACGGAACAAAAATGTTACCGATATTCTTACACTGCTAATCTTCCTTTTAGTTCTCTTAAAAATTTATCCAAAACATTTTTTGTTGCATCAGTAAGACCTTCAACGCCATTTGACATTTGAGAAGGTACTTTTTCCCCTTTTTTTTCGAAAACTTACTGCTTGTTTGGATGGTTGTTAATGTCGTTACGTGACGACAAAAAGTACAACAATAACAACCCAGTATAATCCCACTTAGTGGGGTCTAGGGAAGGTAGTGTGTACGCAGACCTTACCCCCTACCCTGAGGTAGAGAGGCTGTTTCCAAAATAGAAACCCGGCATCCTTCCCTCCAAGAACTTCCCACCTTGCTTTGGGGAGACTCGAACTCACAACCTCTTGGTTGGAAGTGGAGGTTGCTTACCATCAGAGCAACCCCTCTTGTTAAACAAAAAAGTGTCACTACAATATGATACATTATAAGGACGACATTATCATACATTATGAAACGATACGTGATAAATGACTTAAATAAGTTTAGAGAAGAAAAATCTGAACCAAACAGAATGCTTGTTTTTCAAATATGCCAGCGGCTATGCATTATATCACTTTTTACCTTCAACGCCAGAAAATTATTAGAGCAAATTTCTAGTGCTCAAGCTTCCTCTGACTCTTTTGAACAAACAATACATATTTTAGATTACAGATAAAACTAATCCAACAATAAGGATATAGCCCACAAACTACACAAGCTCCATTGTAACTACACCAGAAGATTTCCTATCGGTTTAGTGTGTGTGTGAGAGATAAACCTCATAACACTTCCATAAGGAGGAATCGCCTCAATGTTCATACTATGACAATGTCTTCAGGCTATAATTCAACCTGAAACTACCTCTCTTGCATGATTTTGAAGGGTGATCCACAGTTTCTTCCTCTTTTGTGCTCTATTAAGAAGTGACAGGGTTTGCTGGAGTAACAACTCTAGAGGGCAAAAGCCTAGGGTACAACCATCTTTCCTGCAGATGAGCTGTGAAAGGGTAAAACTACCACATCTAGCATTGTGCACTAGCACAAACGGTTGCAACAGTTAACAGGGAGAACCTGCAAAACTGTTACACCATCATGCAAACAATTATAAGAACTCAATCTGTATGTATGCATTGTCATGATATCAAGTGAGATGGCAAAAAAACTTTCAATGTTGGAGCATTGGAAGAGAGTTCAATGATATCCCCATGCTGAACAGAGTGGACAAGATGAGAGCCATCAATATAAATCAGCCCTTCTTTGCAATACCAGGCGATATCCATCAACTCCTCAGGCTTCACAATGCCGTGCATCAGGCTATTGTAAGCTCCGGGAGCAATGGGTTCTCTCACTATATACTGGAGATCTTTGGATAAAATTGGCATTGCAAATCCACCTGCTGAAAGCATTGCAGCTGTTGACCCAGCAGCTGTTGACACTCTAAGTCCACTTGATCTGCAATGCACCAGAGAAGAACAAGACTGCTCCTCTTTCTTTGTTCTATGAAGAGAAAACATCATTAAGAACCTTTCCAAAGCAGCATAAATGAGAAGTATGCTTCATATGCTACAGCAAATAAAACATTTACCTGAATGAGAATCGGGAAACTGTAGCAGGACAAGGATGAGCAATCAAAACATCATTAAGTGCGTAAGGTGACAGTTGCTTTGAGTTGAGAGTGACTGACATCCTTGAGACTTCAGAAGGTCTAACACGACTTTCAAGGATGTCATCTATTATCTGCAACAGAAGACTAATAGTTAAGACCTTGAGCAGCTTTTAAAAATTAAGCCCCCCATCCCCTACAGTGAAAAAATATCGTTAAGCAGGAGTTGTGGCAGCATGAAAATGAAAAAGCTATGTTCCTACCTGAAAGTGAGTTTGCTTTCTCTGAGCATGAATGATTAATTCGTGTTGGGAGTCACCCCTTTTATATACATTAACTCCACATCAGAAGAAACTAACAATACCCAAGCTGAAGCAAGTCACTGTAAAAAGAGAAATCTTGGCAGCTTACTCTCCTACTAAAACTAAAACACGACCATGATACAACTAGAAGATATGTAGGAACACCATTGTGTTGAAGCAGACTGTTTCATGTGTTTTGGAACAACTATTTCCGCGTTTGATCCCCATGCACGTTACTCTGTGGTATTCTGAATAAACAACTTTCTATGCTCCAGGTTTGCAGGTTACTGACATAATGACTGCATGTGTGAATACTTAGTTAGACCCCGTTTGGACTTTGGATTAGCTGATTCGAAGTAGTTGATCAGCATTAGGTGTTGAAAAGCACTTTTAAGTGCTGAAACTGATTTAATAAATAAGCAGTTACGTGTTTGGGTACAAGTGCTGAAATTGATAATAAGTTGCTGCAGTATTTGATAAAAAAGTGCTGATAAGCTCTTTTTCTGTTAGATAACTTAAATAACCTTAGAACTGTTTACACTTATAAGGGCGTAATTTCTTCAAAATTTTAGATTCCAGATCGATTCAAATACAAAATATTCTATTTTATTTTAAATACAATTGTGCTTAGATAAGATAATTTTTATGATAAATATAATTTATTTTATGATAAGCATATAATCATAAGTTATAATAATTAATAAATTGACAAAAGTTTCTCATTAAAAAATAAACCTAAATAGGACAAATTATTTGAAGAGAAACAAACATTGTCTTCATCACCACAACACTTAGAGAGCAGTACACCAAAAATTTGATATGTCCTCATTTATTACATACAATTCAAAGATTAATACACAATCACATAGATATAAGTATGCAAAAGAATAGAGAATTTTCTTATCTTAAATAGTCAATGAGAAATGCAGACTTGAAGAGGTGGGGGGGG